ACCGCACCTGCCGCCGCCGCGCCGGCTGTGTGGGGGCGCCATGGCAACCGCGCCCGGGGCGGGGCCAGCCCGAGGCGGGAACCCGTCTCCTCCGGCGCTGAGGTGAGGCGCGGCCCGGCCCTGAGGTAAGGAACGGGCCTGGGGCCGCCGGCTCGCAGCGGGCCGGCCCGGGAGCTCCCCCCCCAGTCTTTCCTGCGGTAGCAGCCCGCGCCCGCGCTAATCCTGAAGGAGCCTCAGCCCGGGAAGCCCAAGTGTTCAGTACCTCCCGCCAGCGCAGCAGCGGCACACCGGCCTCTCCAAAGAAGGGAAGGGGGTTGAAGCATCAGGTTAGTGACGTATGGTAAATCTGCTTTTTCTGGTGCTTCTTTCCCTATTTTCCACTAAAAGAGCGAACAGCAAACTCAGCTTGTTTGAGTCGCCTTCTGGTCTTGGCAAAAGGACAGCACTTCGCAAAACTGCAGGGGGTGCCTAGGAAGCATTCCAGCTCTTCCTTCCAAAGCAAATAAGGATGGAGGCAAGATCATTCCTTCAGCAGAGGTATTCAGGATACTTAATAAACCAGAGCTCACTCTCAGCGAGTCCTCCAGCTACTGCTGAAAATCCTACATTAGCTGTGGCTGCAAGGGAAAAGTCACAAGAAGACCCAGGCAAAGGGAGAGCTCCCAAAGGAACAGCACAGAAAAAAAAGAAGAGATAGGAGGCAGGAGCTGGACTGCACCGAGAACAAGACAGACCTCCGTTAATGCAGGCAGAAAAGGGAAAAAGGAGAAGAGCTGTTCCATTTTTGAAAGAAGCAGCAGATGGAGGAGACTGAATCATATCACCCAGTCACAAGAACCAAAAGTCCTACCATGATGAATGTAGGCTGTTTCTACAAGCTCTCATACAACATAAAGTCAGGGTAGGAGCACCTACCTTACAGGTAAACCAATTTTCCACAACTGTGGGAAAGAATAGCCAGTGTGCACTAGAAACCACAGTTACCCAAGAGAGGTTTCTTACCTTTCCAAACAGAAGGATTACTTAACTTCCTTCAAAGACACTCAGATACTTTGTAGAACAGTTTTTGTGGTTGTTGCTCACAACAAAAAACCCCTATGGCTTAGCTCAGAAAGCAGGGTAACAGCAGCAAAGAGAACAGCTAAATAGAACTAACAGATTATGTTGGCCACCTCAAAAGCACACCTGCTGCAGAACACAGGCTACATCTCTGGATCTAATTCCCTGCTAGGCTGCCCCATCAATCAAGAAAGGTTAAAGATGTTCAAAATACAAGTTAGGTTACCTTTGTAGTAATACAAATTGTGTGTAGACTTAAGGAAAGATCAAAATGCTCTGTGATTCTTATTAGGAAATGAAGTTATTTCCATTAACATGAAAACCACTGCAGCCAATGAGTTGTTCTACAATTAAAGGAAAAGCCCAGAGAAAATCAAAACCACTTGTCTGCAGAGCACCTGTAAGTACACTGATACCTCCTACAAATAGCCTGCACCTGCAGGGCATGGGTGAAAGGTAGCAACAGCTCCATATAATACAAAAGCCATTTGCTGACACAGTATTTCTGTGGTTCAGAAATCATAAATAGTTGGTGAGGATCACAACTACAATGCAGAAGAGTGCAGACCAACATGACGAATAAAAAGTTACGATGCTGGAGAAAAATCACAGAAGACAAAATATAACACTTTATTAAAAATTAGTGTTCTATTTCCATTTAATGCACTGATAAAAGAGAAAACACTTTAATCAATAGCTAATATAGTTACTGCATTAACTAAGTATTTTATCCATAAGGCTGACCCTTAAAAGGTAAGACACAAAAATAAAACAAAGCCTGATGTTGTAAGAAAACAGCTTGATCACAGAATGTCAGTTTAAACAAGATCATCAATCATATTTGCTACCCTCTGGATATAAAATATTATAGAAATCCAAAGTCCTTTACTATTATTAAACACATTAAACTTCAACATCCCTCTGAGGTAGGGGAGGGTCTTACCACCATTTTATTACAGATGAGGAAAAATGACACACATACAGAAAAACTTGAGTTGCTGTATGTCACAGAGTTAGTAGCAAAGCTGGAAACAGGACTCATGCCCACTCATCTCTTAATAAAACCTCAGTTCTCCTAACAGAAAGGATGGTGTGAAATTTGACTGTAAAGATTTAATGCAAAGGATTGTCAGAGGATATAATCTAATTGTGTAAGACAGGGACTACTGGGCCAGAGACATTCAGTCAAGGTATACTTCATCAGTATTTCCTAGAGTGAATTTTGTATGAAAACTAAAAAACCTCGAGAGAAAAAAAAAATCTAATCAAAACCACAATAAGCATTGCCTGTTCGAAACAGAACACAGCTTTTCAATAACACCATAGTATCGGTCCCTCCAATGCCCTCCCAGTCTCTGTCAGTTATTTTATATTTTAACCACGGAGTGCAAGAGAGAAAAAGTCTGCGGAATGGAACATTACAGTAGGATAAATGTTTCCTGTTCCAAAAACTAAATGTCAAGGTGAAGGTTAAACATTTAGTTTTCTCTCAGCATTTATCAAGCAGTTGGGAGGTTGCTACCCTGCAGAACTCTCTCTTTTGACATTATTGCCTAATTAACACTGATGCTGAAAAGCTGTTTAACATAAGACATTCACTGAAAGCACCAAGTCTCCTTCTCTGTAGAAAGACTGAGGCTGTTTTGCAATATGTGAGGACCCCATTACAGAAACATGCAACTCTTTATTACAGTACTTGTGTATAGATGTCAGTTAATGTTTTCCATTCATTCTCTGTCTGCTAATATCTGAATGTGCAAAAGTTCACGTAAATTTAAGAGTGAAGAGGACAGAAAGGTTTCAAAAAGAGCTCCAGCAGCTAATGAATGCCAGCTGATGTAGTTAGAATTCATACATTACAAATGAGGCAAAAAGGCATTTCTTCCTCCTAAAGGCTACTATAAATTCACAGGCACATCAGTAAATACATCCATTGGTGATGGTCTATGTAGAAAGCCATTACAAGTCTCATAACTTGCAGACAAATGTATATAATTAGAAATCTATATTGTCTTAATAGGGATCATAATTTGTGATATTTAAAGCCAGTAGAGAAGAGCCTTAGGAAGCACAGCTGTTCGCTCTCTCTGGAAGTAGAAAGGTTACTACAAATAAGTGAATGCTATGGTTCAAAACGGCATTATCCTTTTCAGTGCTTTTTGTCCATTACACCAGGTTGTAAAATTATGTTCTAGAATGTTGTTGTCAAAACAATTTAGAGCTTTTAATTAAGTTAAGGATGATTAACATGAGAATACAAAGCACGTGTTACATCAAAACTACAGTATTCGAAATTATCAGAAGCTGGTAGTACAGAGACTGTATAAATCAACATGCCATGATTTTGGTGGAAAAAACATTCACTAACATCCTGTACTGGAGCAGTTTCAGATAAGCAGGACTCTTAAGAGAAAAATACAGTGTTCTATCACGTGTATTAGAAAAACGTTCAACCCATGAACTGTGTAAGTGATGGCTGCATTCATGTCTACATTTAGACTTACGGAGACTTCATGTACATTATCCAATTACGTAAGCACTCAGGTAAGAGGTAACTCGGGGCATTCCAGATTTTGTCAGAAACCCAAGCATAGCAGCCCTACCTAGGGAGGGGATCTCTAATACTACAATCAATTTAGCCTTGCGCACATCTGAATAGCACACACCCCAGAACACACCTACACAGAGGATTTCCTGATGTTCTCCCATTCCAATCTGTCCAGCAGTGGAGGAAACTATAGAACTGCTAGTTAAACCCAGCCATGGGTATTTAACTGGGATCTCTCAGCCACATCCTGAAAATCCTATCAGGACAATGAACACCAAGACCATGGTTTCAAAATATCTTTTGAATAGACAAAAAAACTTTAGTGTTTATGCAATTAGATTTTTACTCTAAGTAAAGCTTACAGGCTGACAGAGTGTTCTGTCCACAGTGGCTAAGCATTGTTTAACATCATTCCAGTTCTAGTCATATCTTAATCTAAAAGCAGATGTTTTGTGATCAGTACTAATTGGAAGCAGAGAAGGGAGAATGAATGGGGATGAGATAAGAAGGTGAAATGAAAAGGGTATCTGTACATATTTTAAAAAACATTCATAACCTCTTACAGTTTTTACTGATATTCCACAAATACCAAGAAGTTATTTTGCACTTTTTAAAAGATTCTCACAACCCAGATGGTTCTCAAAACAGTTTCCAAGATTAATTTAATCTAAATTCAAATCTGAAATTAATACTACTTGTTGGCTACGGGAGTCAGGGAAAAGGAAGCCAACTAAACCAAAACACAAGCTTTTCTCTGCTTCTTACAGTGTAATAATTCGCAATATGAATCCTGGGAGTACAGAATCCAACACGGAATGAAAGCCTCTGGACTAGCACACAGATCTGACACTCAATTATCTTTCACACACTCCTTCCCATGCTTGTACTCCCCAGAGAAAAGAAATGCAAAGATGACATTTTCCTGCTTATAACTTCCTTTAAACATGATTTTGCAAGGCTACCAGCATCACTTACTTAATCTGTTAATGTTCACTATGATAGTAACAAGAAAAAAATAATATAAATCATTTGCCAAGAAACAGAAGTGCTACACTTGATTTTTAAATGGCAGTCTTATTTGTTACAAGATGGAAAAAAAGTACAAGAGAATAAATTGAAGCTATTAAGTACAGCACAAAGACACTAGCACTATAGGCTCTGCTAGTAGCTTCCAAGCATCCACCACAGTGTAATTGAAACAGTGTTAGTGGGGGGGGGGAATAAATTAAAAAAAAATCCACATCACACTCTAGCAGAAGTAAAGAAAAAAAACCCCAAACAAACACAAAAGCCTTCGTCAAAACTAATTTCAGTAGCTGTATTTTCACTGGCACAATAGAAAAACCAGCTGGAAAACAACTTACAGAAAGCAAGATAAAAAGAAAAGAGGTTATCAGAGTTTTAAAGAGGCCTTTCAAAAAAAGGCAGGTGCATTACTGTGGCAACGCTACTTCCCAAATGTAAGGAGAGCTAAGTGAATGCCTGCCACATGTAGGTCTGGCTAGGCAATAAAGTCCTGAAAGTTTGCAGCCATTAGTGTTTTCTTACCAAGCCTCAACAATTTCATTTTCAAAAGCCTAATTGAGTGAAAATAATTTTTTTGTTCCCTCCCCTGCTTCTATTACTACCAAACCATCTACCATCTTAATTCTGCTTATGACTTCACCTCTTGTCAGGCTTTTGCAGTAATATGCTTTAAAACTTATAGGTAGATTTGGCACCAGTCAAAGCAGTTCAAGACTAACCGTTGCAGAATCCGAAGCTTCCCTGTTCACGTACAATATGGGAGCATAAAAGCAGTTGTGGAGCATGCTCCACCACTGTCACATATCCATAGCTGCCACTGAACAGCCATCAAGTAATAACTGTTTATGACAGTGGTAAAATTTGAATCTGCAACCTACAGCTGAAACCTACAAGCAAACATTTAAAAATACAGTAACACCTTTTCCTACTAAACTTGAAACTGTTTCCAGACACCCAATTTGCAGAGCAGCCTTGACTCCAAACTTTTCAAAGGCCCTTTACAATTAGCACCCAGCCAAGCACTCAGAATAAAAGTAATTATTTCAGTTTAAAATTTAGTATAAGCTATTTTTCTCCTGTGTCCAAAGCCTGTTGCAGTTTCATGCTAGAACAAAATTTCTATGACTATTCTTCTTTTTCCACTTCAAATTCTATGCTCTAGAAGGGATTCAGAGCACAAAACTTGAAATCACCCTTCAGTATGTGAACATTATCTAGCCTTATAAAACGTTTAGACTGTACTTCCCCAGTCACTGCAATTTTTCCCCTGCTGCTTGAGAAATTTAACATTAAATAGCACTTTTGGGCCACAGGAGGAAACTAATGTAAAACTAATTCCCCAGATTGCCGTTGTTTTTATATAAACAGGATTAGACTATCACAAGCCTAAACAATGGCAACCCTGCCACAATTTATTCCTCAAGTTTTCTTACTTGAGGAAGTTTCTCCCTTCACCATACCCATTTCCCCATCTCCCAAGACAAATCATGACATACATATTTAAATTTTCAAAGTTTTCTCATTTTTCACAAGGGCAGCTTTTCTGATGACTTGACTCTTACCTCTTTGGAAGAGCTTACCTTAGAATTAATGAGTTTTAGACAGCTATCTTGGAATACAAACTTTTGTACGTGTACTGGGGGAAAGAGGTGGGAGAAATCACCTGTGCAGTGCATCTGACTACTGGATACCTAACCATTTCTTCTGGGGGGTTATCAGATGTAGTGTTTGCACTACTACTATGAGTAGTCATGTTCAAGTTCTCTCCACCCCCCCTTCAGTATCTTCATTTAAAAACTGGAAGTTCCATTATACAAAACCCTAAAAGGGCAGGTATCTGGAAAAAGATTTTTCAAATCACACCATCTTATTCAGGAAAAGCAGTACTTCTCACAGGAAGTAAGAAAACTGGCAAGTCATTAGATATGCAAGAGCAACCACAAACTGTCAGAATCAGTGTTCTGAATTCCGTTCCTCACGTGGCATGAAAAGGGGGCCAGTCTGTATTTAAAGCACATGGTGCAAAATTAACATCTTAGTTCTCAAAGCCCTTGGCCTTTAGTGTTGCTTTGTGCGCACAAAATGCCCATTTGCTTCTCTAGGGAGCCAAGAAGCCAAATGAAGATCAATCCAGAGTCCAACTGATCCCTCCCTACTTCCTGATCTCCCTCAAAGAATATCGATACAAGCCTTGACACCAAACCCTTACTCCTCGACTGATATGCTAGTGGCCAAGCTGACGGTCATCATAGGTGCTATATCTCTTCACATGGATTCGGCGCACTCGGTCACGAAGTTCAAAACCCTCATCATCCTCACTGTGAGATGCCTGGCTTCGGCTCCTACTTGTTGCTTCCAGCAGAGAGTTATCAGGAACCCGTGGTGTTTCATATAGCAAGACATTTAGTGTTTCCTCATAAATTCGTGCCTCAGGGAATTCAACCTACAAAAAACAGCACATGTCCTTTTCCAGATCTATATGGGATAACATGACTGGAACACTTACCCATAAGTAAAAAGATATTTGAGCCATAAAAAGACATACACTATGAAGAGAGTAAAACAACTGTAAACAAGAAAGATGAGCAAAGCAGTCCAATTCCTAGTAGAGGATTATTCCCACCACCAGCGTGCCTACCTCACCTCTGCTTTTAGATCATTCTAGAATGGAAAACAGTATTTCTGATTCTTAAGTGCTAATGTTGGAGCTGGTCACCTTACCTGCACCACTGCAAGTCAAAAGTTAACTCCTGAAGTTAGGGAAACTCTGTAGATTTATCATGCTAATCATTATCATATTTTCATGCATGCAACTCATCTCTTTAGGACGTACTGTGCTTGAAAGCAAGTCTTTAGGTAACCTTTGCAAAATCAGAGGTGGGAAGACTATGAGAAGAATTGCTGGAAGTGTGGGGAAATCAAGATAGGTTGATTATTGGGAATCTGCACTCCTGCTGAACTTTTTTTTTTTTAAACAGATATTCTGTAGTTTTGCACATAAAAACACAACGATAATAAATATACCATGTTTCTAAACAGTGTCTGAGCTCAAGTTTCCTTTTCATTAATTTCATCCCATCCACTTCAGTTATTCAGGCTGGGACAGATCAGTTTCAGCCTTCTCCTTTTTGGCATGTATCTTCCAACACTCTGAAGAAATTTATACTCCCAGATGCAACCATTTAGTCCAATTACATACAATGATTACATCAGTGCAAGTGAAACACAGTACAAAGTAACTGCAATGAAGTAAACTTATGTAGGTATAATTAGGAGCAGAATTAGATCTTTACTCCATTTAATTAGAAAAGAATTCCAAGGCATTTACATGCTTTAGGGACACAAAGTCCATCAACTTTAAGAGACTAGTGCTAAAATGCACATGCTTTCAGAATTGCTATTCTCAGCCTTTCCTTCAAACCTGCTACCATGTTTAGTCTTCTCTGAATTCTATCTAGTATGCAGCATCTTTTACCTAGATGGCAGCTCATCCTGCAGCCCCCTAAGCAGCAAGCCATTCTAGTAATTTCAATGTCACTGACCATCGATTCCAGTCAATATTCAGGAGAGCTGGTATCAAAGCTTTTCCAACAAGTGATATTGCTTGCCCCTAGCAATTTGGCTTAAGTTATACAAAATCTGTATCTTTCTGCAATGTATCATCAATTTTTTTTTTTTTTTTTTTAAACCATAAGAGACAGATGGGTAAAACTCCATTACCTTGGTTTGCTTCTTCTCTGTAGCATACACTATAGAGGTACAACAGACTTCAGCAAGTTTCCGACCCTGTCCATAGAAAGACCAGCAGCAGATTTCATCCCCTATAACATCCTTAATGAAAAGAACTCTGCCGTTGAATCGGAGAGATAGTTTGTCAAACAGTTCTATGTTCTTCAGTAAGTTGTCATCTGAGTTACTGAAACACAGCAACAAAAGAAGGAATATGGTTTTTGCCGTTTTTCAACTGGCCATCTCTACAGAATTTATATGCCTATTCCACCACAGTTTTAAGCATTGATCTAACTGCAGAATACAAATAAGCAGTGACTCATTACCATATGCTGCCAAGAAAAGACAGGGTAATAGCCAATTTCAGATACAAATAAGATGCTCTGATCCCCATGAGCAAACACACCAGCTTTTAGAGGTCAAGTTATATAATTAATAACGACAGCACAATTTCCCCAAATCATTACATCAACTATCTACAACTATCTTTTGACTGACACTCAAGACAATTAAATCACATGCTAACTACAGTTCTCTTTAGCTTAGTAACAGCAGAAGTCCAAAGAGTCAATGCATGTTAGAAGGCCAGCTAAAAAGCAAGGTGTTCTGCACGTAACACTAGTGATAGCATATACAAATTTCAAATTACAAAATAATATACATTATTTAGGAAACTTAAGTTTTACTGACAGCCAACACAATGTAGGATCTTAATTACTTTTCAAAGCAAGATCTAGATGTTCTAGAGAAAAAAAAAATATACACTGTATTATAGCTTTAAAGTCAAGTAAAGCTATCAGAAAGCTATTCTTAAAATTTAAAATATTTTACTTTAACAACATCATGGCCAATCAATGTCCAATTTGATTAAGTAAAAAAAACAAAAGACACCAACCCAAATCTAAAAGCCCTACTCCTTTGACATCAGCTTGAATGCAGCTGTATTGAAATTAAGTACTCTGCCCCTTTGTCTCTTTTTATAGGTGGCTGGGAAATTATATGCGGATGTGTGGAAATTGGTGAATGTATTATCGCCTAGACAACAAAGCCAACCTTGCTAGCTTTAACAGTGAAATTGCTTACTCTTTGGACCCATAAGCTCAAGGTTCATACCTTGCTGCCAAGAATCTACCCAGAGACATGACATTGTACTTTTGTATGCAGTATCTTAACTTTTGCAAGTGGTCCAGGAAGGCTATGAAATACTTGTGAATCAAGACACTGCTAATAAGAAAAGCCGACTGGGCTTTACATAAAATACGTAGTCTAAGAAGTATTTCTGTTCAGACCTAAATCAAAAAAGAATGATCTGCAACCAGATAAAACCTTCAGCTCGCAAGAATCAGTTGATAAAGCAACTTGCGATTCAGCCACTGACAAGTCCCAGCCTCCATCAAGTGGCAGAGCTGGGAAAAGAATGTGGAAGTCTTCATCCATTTATATGTTATTAGACCACACTGACAACATAACTGAGAAAGCTCCTTTTATACTGTTGATTAGGAAGAATAGAAGGAAAAAAAATCTTTGCTTGCTAGCAGCCAGTGTGGAATTTTAAATAAAGATGCCTCATTTAAACACCCTCAAGGCATGCAGATTCATGCGCAAGGAATAATTAGAACCCTACAGCTAGTTGAGATACCAGCACCTCCTGGTATCCAGGATTCTGTTGCTCTCATTACTAGTACGTTTATGTTTCCAGACCCATGGTGACTAATATGCTATTCTGTGCTTGCTTTAGCATCACTGCTGTAAGCTAAAGGGTAACAGGGAGGAGTCCAATATGACTGGCAGATACAAATGCAGTTTGCTGAAAAACAGGCTGCTCTTCAGCACTCCCACAGGTAGCATTTCCCGACTACCTGAAATAGCATGATTGTTAGAATCCATCTCTCTGACAGATAGACCATCAGTTTGTCCAGAGAAAAAAAGCTTCCAAGATTGTATCTCACATTGAAAAGGCTGAAAATGAGGATTCTGCATAGCATAAAGGATTACTCGCATCGTTTCAATGACTGGTTTGGGAAAATCCAAAGCCATTCTAATAGCATCATAACAAAGGGATCATGATAGTTGCAGCATAGAACTAAATGTTATTTTATACAGGAGGAAAGCCAGAAAACTACTGCCCTGGCCCTAACTAGGTTGCTCCTGAGCAGAACAGATATTTTCCTTTGTAACCAAATAATTAATTCATTTAGAGGCACTGAAGGCGCTGGAACATCAAGAATGTCTGTAGGTCAGAATAAAAGAGTGCTGGCACAGCTATATGCAGACTCAAAAGTATAGCTAAACTGACAAGGCGGGAATCATGGCTGCATTAGCTTTGCATTGACAAGGTAATGCTCTGCAGACCAGTTTGTGTTGCATTACCCAAGTCACATCTAGTTTCAGCCAATATTAATAGCCTCATCCTGTCCTTGTTTCTTCTCACACAACTGAACTGTACACTAAACTTCAACAGATACAGTTTATTGTGTTCTCCCCTGATTTAGATTCATGTCAGTCAAAAATAACTGTGCTCAAATCCATAGAAGAGCACCACTGTAAGCAAAAAAAACCCCAAAACAAACCAAACAAAAAAACCCCAAACAAGTTAGGTCGTATCACATCTTCCTCCATTCCCATAGTCAAAGGGAAACTTTCCCATTACAGTGGGGGAAAAAACCTGACATACCTGGTGTAGGAGTATTTATTGTTGCTTCTATTATAAAGCAGCTTAACAACAGGCTATTGGGAGAGAAAGAGAAAAAACAGAAAATATAAGTTCTGTGTTTGAATACATTTAGCAAAAATTCAGTTTCTCACTGGATAGTTGTGGAAAAGTAGTTACTTTCATTGATGATTCTATCAGTCTCTCTTCTTCTTTTGGAGATGTGATAATAGGGATGCTACAGACAGGTTCATACAAGTCTTTCTTGTCCTGTTTTGAAGAAAGAAGAGAGAGAGGAAATAAACTCGAGAGAGATAAATGCTAAAGCTAACATCTGCTCCTGCTGTTTTCTCCAACCCCTCCAGCCATATTCCCAAATCCTGCGATGCAAGGGGGAAAAAAAAAAAAAAAAAGCTCTGTGTTGCTATAGTAACCACACAGCATTACCTTGATCTGCAACCCAGAAATACAGCGGAGGGATTTCTTATCCCCAGAAGGCAGCAGTAATTGAAACATTGGGATGCAGGTGGATGTCCTTCTTAGCTACAGCAAGGACCCTAAGCTCAAGTCATATTTGGTTTAAGTGGGTTTATTATTCTATCCTTTTTTGAAGAAAAGGATAGTAGGAGTTTGCACTAGTTTTAACCAACTCAAAACACTGCAGTATGTAAGAATATCAGCCACTGTGAACTGAACATTTAGAACAGCATGTCACTAAAATGGACTTCAGCCCCTTGTGATACAAAAGCAACAATCAAGAGCATGTAGCACAGCCTGTGACTCCAGATTCCTCATGTAGCAAGTTAAGGAAAGCTCAATAGCTAATAGGAAAGCCTTAGAACATTTGTTGTTAGAAAAAAGGTTTTAAATTCCAAACTGGAAGGAAAATTGTCAGTGGGGCTTTGCATTTCTTTCGGGGATACAAGAAGTATTTTCAACCTAGTATGTGAGGCATTTATGAATTACTAAGTTTTGCCCTGCAAGAAACATTCATTTCACAATGCTGAGACTAATAATAAGTTATATATATTGCATCTGGGCTAACCTTATTGAAAGGTTGGCAGAACAAGCTAATTGCAATCAGCTGAATGCATACGGACTCATAAAGTGAATAAAGCCACTATGGGCTTACATATTTGCAAAACTGATATGAAGAAAAGTCCTTAAAGTACTCAGTGCTTACCATATAGGTGTTTTTCTCCATTAAGATTCAAACTTAGAAAAAAGGTACCATGTTTTCAAAGATTCAAACCCATTCTGCCTATAAATACTCTCTAATTAGAAGTGACATAACTTGGGAGAAATTTAGACAAATGCCATAAGGCCTTTTAAAACATATGCTCAAAATAATAATGTTTATTCAATCAGTCTCCTTTAAATTTCTGGCTTTTATTTCATTTCACACAAGAGGAACTAATTCACTATCTATTTCCTAAATAAAATATATAAAAAAGAAACAGAAAAGAATCAGTTCCTCTATTTAAATGACAAATTGTCAATACAGTTTCTACTTTATTCATCCTCCTGGCATACCTGTGAAGCAGAAAAGTGCTACTGTCCCCATTGCGAGGGGGCAGCTGGACAACCGAACAGAAGCACAAAGGGAAATGATTTACCCATTGTCACACCAGACATCTCCAAAATGACAGGAACTCAGACCCACATCTTGCACATTCTAGATTCATATAATCTAACCAGGGGACAATCTTTCTCTTCTTACAAAGAAATAGCTCCCTTGGTAATGCAGCTGCCTCACTACTTGCACTAAATGACTTCAGAGCACAGGCACCTGTGGCCTGGAAGGCCATGCCATGGTAGCACATGGGTCTGAAAACATTTCATCTCTTACTCAAAGCATCACAGGATCTCAGGTGTGCATACAGAGCAAGGATAACTATGGCTTTGATAAATGTACTGGATAAGCTCTTACAACTTACCTGTCTACTGTCTCATTTTATTTCCAGGCCATCTTGTGCATCTAAGACTCGATGCCGTCTCTAAGGCCATGAAATACTCTCTCAAGTTGTCTTGATAAATTTTATAAGTAAAACACCCACAAAAAACTTTACAGGCTACTTCTGTTTCTTACCTGCAGGGCTGCTTGGCACATGTCCACTAAGCCCTGAATGAGATAGTATTTGGCTTCTGCCATCAACTCTTTGATCTCCTGTCTGTGTTTTGGAAGTGCAATCGTGTCATCTCGGAGATAGTTTAAAATTGTTCCAAAGTGCTTCCCACAACGGTCTATAAGGATCCAGCCTGAAAAATAATGATTGCATCATTTCAATCACCTTAACACTAGGGGGGAAGAGAAAGCTCCTCGGAGAGGTTAAATAAGCCTAATGTTTCCTGAAACTGCACATGATACTCTTCCCATTTCATTCAGTGGAAGTCCTTACTGACTTTGAGCAAATTGAAGTTGATTACAGAACAGAAACTGACAGTGGAACCACTCCTTTGGTACCTCCTGTATGTTCTCACTACTTTCCAGCACCCCAAAAGAAAAGCCTCGAGCTAAAAATTCTTGGCTTCCTATCACAAAACACTAAAACTGCTGCAGGAACCTGACTGTGCTGTATCAACTGATCATCAGTGGGTTACCTGACCAAAATTATTATCTCGCTTCATCTTTTTTGTATTAGGTTCTGATTAAAGGAATGAACCTTTTTAACTACTATAGGAAGTCTAATTTACATCTATTTAACTGACTGTCCAAGCCATTCAAACCAGGGGGGGGAGGGGGTGTGCAAAAAAAAGCTTATTGTTAGATAGGTTGCTTCTTTTCTTCAGAGGCTTGTCATATTCCCACCAAAAAGGAGGTGTGCTATATTCGTATGGGAATAAATGTATTAACTGCTGCTACAGTGTAATGGTGGGCAATTAGCAACTTATCACTAAGCAAGCCAAGGAAAGACTAGAAGAGAGAATTCACAAATGTTTGCAACAAGTAGATTTGGGATAAGTTCTGTGGCTTAATGAGAAGGATTTGGCAGTTTTCCAACCACATCTTCTGCTGTTGTTCGGAGTTAAAGAGACAGAAGTGTTCCGAAGATGCTAAAAGATAGATAGCCCAGAAAACCCAGTATGGGAAAAAAGCTGTTCTAGTCTCCAAACAGGAGCAAAGAACAGGACAGAGACAGATCAGGAGGGAGCAGAGAGGGGATGCAGCACAGGAAACAGCAGTCAACAGACAGTTCTTGCAATTCTAAAACATCCCTGAAGCCACATTCACTAGGAAACAGGATGTCTGACTTGCTGGCAAACAATAGCAATGCAGGACACACACAAGCAGAGGGCTTAATACAGCGCCAAACCCTTTTCCATAACATGGAAGGCAGGCAAAAAAGTGTTATTCTGGGACCTAGGTACAGAAAACAACATAGGAAAATAAGCTAAACCACTGCTAGATTCTACAGCTGCAGCTGTCAGAACATGAACCTTGTTTTCCATTCAGGCTGAGGCTCTTATACAAAACTGCTGGACTAAATGGATTTAGTTGTATGTAACACTCAACAAGACCCAGCCTACTCAAGGGGAACTTGGTTTAAATGGTACGCAAAATCCACAAGGAGTTGTTTCAGTTTAAGTAAACACACTGCTGCGCATTGAGTTTAAGCTGATGTAATCTGGGCATGCAGAAGAGCTTTTGCATACGAGTGTTCAGAAACGCCAAGCGGTTAAATGCTTGCCAACCTCTCTCAGCCTCTTCTCCACAGTGCCACAACTCTCATTCCAAAGGTGTCATTTTGCCCCGGACTACCAAAGAGAGGAAAATGAAAGCACTCATAGCCATTGCTGATATTGGTTGTCTTTCTTGTTCTACGCTTGATAATGTATTATGGATTTTTATAATGACAATATTCAGTGTCGAGCAGGAGGTGACATACTGCTTGAGTGACGTCTAAATACTGTCACAGCATCGTAAGCCACAAGCAGAACATTCTACTGGGAGGAGGAAAAAAAGAATTTTCAACAGAGCAAGCAAGGCTATTCTGAGTTCTAAAGATGAAAACTGAATGTCCCTCCCCATGTACGCATTTTGAATGATGCCAACACATGACACCACATAAATGACAACCCACACACTGTCTGTTCAGTCTTCGTAACATCAACAATCTGCATACCAGCTGTGATCGTAGGAAAGAGAACCAGTCCTTCCGCTAGTTAATTTTAGTAACAAAAGAACATTTTTATAAAGGACAGAGGATTGTTAGCACCAATGGGAGTTGGCTGCCTAATGTTCTGAGCTATTTTTGGAATGTATCTTTCCCTACATCCTTAACTGAGCGTAGTCTTAAGATATTTAAAAGACCTCCACCAAAACCCAGTTGTTCTACAAAATTGTCAACAACAAAAGACATTCCCTTACCTTCCTTGTCTGTGAGCACCTCCATTCTGCCGCTGAACATGGCCTTAAGCATTGTGTCATGCCTGGTCAGTACTTGTACTGTAGTGTAATATAAAGAGCCCCCAACATTCAGTCGCACATACTTGTTACCAAGGCTGCCGCCTTTGAAGCTGCAAGTTTTGGGCTTGGGCCCTGCAGCTGGACAAAGGGTGGTGGTTAGACACGTGTCCCCCGACATCTCCTTCTGTAGGTAGATGACAACCCTGCAGAGCGTGGGCTTGACGGATTCCGCCGTGATTGGTGAAGAGTCACGAGTCACCAGACGAGGACGGCAAGGCAAAAGCGGTCATAACCACTGGGCCCCTGAAACAGAAACGCGCAAGATCAACCCAGAAGCCTGGAATTTCCATTTACAACAAAAACATGAAGCCCACATTAAAGACGAAATACCTTCAGTAGATTCCTAAGGGCACATCTACATGCATTCTGACAAAACAAGATTCAGCTGTTTTTCAGACAACTTAGCAGCAGAACGGTAGCTCACCACCTTGCAGCTGCATTACTGTTAGTGAGACACACTGAACTTCTCTGGGCTTCCTGTTATTTAGTCTTCACCCAAGACTACAAACACCATACAATACCGCAGTCCGAGTTTAAACGCTAGCTGGAATTCCGCTCCCTCTCAACTTCCCAGAAGAACACAACTCTTTTTAAAGTGTGCAGAGCCAAAACACAATGGAAGACTTTTCTGCCCTTCCTTCAGCTGGGGTGTGTATCTATACGTGTGGGGTTTGTTGTTGTTGTTTTGTTTTTTAACTGGAGACATTTATAAATGTCTCTTCAAATGCCTCGATGTTGAAATGCTGGACCATAACACGTTCTATTTCCTGGCGACTCCTTTCATTCAAAACTCTTCTTCCGCCATCCTGGAATGCTGAGCACTCAAAGTAGTTTTAAATTTTTTTTAAAATTAACACCACTCCGTCACCAAATATGTCCAGTCTTTGGAATATTTGTCTCAGTTAAAAAGCCAGCTAGACATTCACTGCTTCTTTCTCTCCCCAGTCTCACTATGCCTATTTTTCCATTGACAATAACTTCAAAATGCAAACAAACAAATAAAAGAATGAAACTCTGTCTAATGTGCCAGATACGAGTTCTTCAACCAGAAAAGTACAAATACAAGTTTCTTACCTGTCCTTCTTCTAAATAATTATTGTTCTCAAAAACATTTTGCCATTGGCTTTTTTGTTGTTGTTGTTTTAAGACTCTTTCAGACTATGAATATCTCCTCCCTTCTCCGTTCTGTGCCTACGGCACATGAGCAACCTTTTATAAATAAATATAATAACCTGCTAATTATCTTGCTATTCTTCCTACAACCTCTTCCTTCTCACCCCACCTCAGCTTTCAACATAAGAAAAAAACCCCACAAACGTCCATCTGTTCAGCAATTTATTTGGCAGCTACAGATGGCACCTTAAAATTGCCAGAGATCTGAATAACTACTGAACTTAGAACACCTAAAATGTAACATTATTCTGCAATTCCTAACTCAATTACTCTAATTAAGCAAACACTACAAACAACGTCTATTAAACAACAAGCAACACAAACACTGCGCAGATCATCAAGACACAAACCAATTCTAAGAATTTTAGTGCCAGAAAAGCTCAGTTTGTCTATAAATGCTTTAACTGGAACTCCTACCGGCTGCCATTGCTCTTTACTTCCAACTAATCACTATAAAACGCAACAGCAAGCTTCAGCCTACATCTGGGCGAGACAACTTTTTTTTCCAGCTACATCACTTGAGCCAAGCGGTCCACGAGCAAATCTGAGTCACAGGCAGCTGCACGCGACACATGGAACGGGCCAGAAAAGTAACTCCCGACCGGTAAGCAAGCAGCAGTGAGCAAAAATTGCGTGTTAGGCTTGTGGTGTTATCTAAGAAGTTAATTACTCAAACAAAGCAGCTGAGGGTTATAGAGAAATCAATCAGAAGTTGTCCAAGCCTTGTGAGTAACACAGTTCCTCCCAACTAGTCAAAGGCACTTGCTATAATCCGTTAGGAACAAGCAGATGAAGACCTACGGAAGCAACTACACCTTGTCCCACAGCTCAGACCTCTGGTAACAATGGACGTACGCCCTCGGTCTGCACGTCTGTCACCGCGTCCTGCCTTGCTTCGGCCCCTCAGCAATCCCTCCTGCAGAAGAACAAAGGCATGCTTGGGAAGACAGCCAGGCCGAGAGAAATCCAGGCGCACACACAGCTCTCCAACGTCCGTCTGCCCGAACACGGGTCTGCGGTCGTTCTGACGCTTCAGGCCTCGACGTGCTGCTCCGACTGCGCGGAACGGAGCAGAACCCCCGGGACAGCCGGTCCGAGCGGGAGTCGGGACTATTACTCCTTCCTTAACTAATAAGCGAGGAGCCCTTTGCTGTAAACAGCGACGTAACCTCTGATTAGCCCCGCTACCACACGACAAACATTTTCTACCTCCCTCCCTTCCCGCCCGGTGCGGGGGGCAGGAGGAGGACGGCGCGACGCCACGTCAGGAAAGGGGCCCTGATGAAAACTTACAGAAAAAGGAACAACCTTAACGGCTCCGGGGGGGGAACCCCCTGCAACCGGGCGCGCTTTTGGCTCAAGCTCTCTCCGGCCCCTCCCGCCTTTTCGACACCGCCAGGCCCCGCCGCGGCCCCTCACGGCGGGGCAGAGGGGGGACCCCGGCCCCGCCAGGCCGGGCCTGCGGAGGGAGCGCAGCCGGCCGCGGCACGCACCGAACGAAGCCTTACAGGCCCGGGGAGAGGGCTGCTCCGCCTGCCCCGGCGCCCTCCGCTCCGGCACCTGCAAAAAAAAACAAGCAAAGGAGCGGCGGGCCCGGCCCGGGAGGGCCCCGGCGGCCTTCGCTCACCCGCCGCGGCGGTCCCCGCTTGAGATCATTTCCTCCGCGCCCCGCTAACGACCGGCACGACCCGGAAACGTTTCCCGCCGCGCCGCCGGGACTCCATTTCCCAGCGCGCCCCGCGCCATCGGCGGGCTGTCGCCGTGGCGGCCGCCGTGAGGTGACGGGGAGGCCGCGGGTCCCGCCGGGCTCGGTCGCGTCCCCCAGAGCGCTCTGGTGAGGAGAGGCCGTCTTCCCCCCGCTTCCCTTCCCCGGCCCCGCTCCTGCCAGCGCCGGCGCTCTGCCCGGTGCCCGCCGGGGGCTGCGGGACGCGCCCCCTCCCCTCGGGAAGATGGCGCAGGCGGCGCTGGGCGCGGCGGGCCTCCACTTCGACGAGCTGAACAAGCTGCGGGTCCTCGACCCCGAGGTGTCGCGGCAGACGGCGCAGCTCCGGGAGGAGTGCGGGGTTTTCCTGGAGAGTAAGTCCCGCGGGGGGGCGAGCGGCTGGGTGGGCACCCCCCCCACCCCCCCCCCGCGCCCCGCCGCCGAGCTGTGAGGGGATCGCAGCCGGAGCAGCAGCGTGGCCCGGACCCCGCCAGCCTGCCCGAGCGCCCCTCGGCAGCTCGGAGAAGGGTCAGGGAGGCGAGCCGGGGCACGGAGGGCTCCCCCACACACACATACCCCCCCCAAGCCCTCCCTAGCCCCTCGGACAGCAGGGAGGACCTCGGGACGTAGCGGTGCGCGGCCAGCGCGTCGGAGAAGCATTAGTTGTCTTCAGGGGTGTTTTGAACTTTACCTAACGGTTTTCTTTTCTTTGCAGAGATAGCAGAATTCCAAAAAATAGTGGGTAGCTTAATCGAACTGGTTGACCAACTGGCAAAAGCTGCGGAAAGTGAGAAGATGAAGGTACCGTGCAATTAATTGCTGGCTTGTCAGGTACTCTACTCTGTACTGCGTGTGAAAAAAACAGACCTAAGCAATCTTTTTCTGTTAGTATCATACAGGCATTTCCATGGCAGTTAACATCCATCTCTCTGCAATATCAAAGCATGGGCCTTTTTAGTTCAGACTAAGGTCTAGAAGGCTTTTACAGACACACTCAAGAGTGTCACATTACTCCTGCATGTAAAAGTCCTGCTGTTCCTGCTTCTGTATATATTTGCACTTAAATAGAACGTATATTTTTTTAATCACTCCTACTAGTAGAGCTTTGTCCTCAAGAGGCAGGAGAGGCTCTGGGAGGAGGAGAAGGGCTTTCTAAAGACCAGATCAGTGAATAGCTCTATAAATACCTTTGAAATTTTCTGTATTGTATTTCCGTGCGTCACCATGTGGTGTGGATTTTTTCCATGTTATTGTGGAAATAGAAATAGTGTTTAGCAGAATTGTAGGTAATTACTTTTTTCCTTAATTGTTCTGGGGAGAAGAATTATAACCAGAGCTTGTCTATCTGTAGGACTAGTCACCAGTGATCAGTTTGTACTTCCGGAGGAGTCAGTGACTTTTGTTCCATGAGGCTGAAGGAAGTCTCAAATGCCTTCATCTGCCCCACCTCTACAGGGACTGTTTGCCTGTTCACCAGCCATTCAGTATTAAGCTATCACCCTCCTTTATTGTTAGCATGGCTGAAACACTTCAAAATCAACCTGCTAGTAGTGAAAGGGGTTAAAAAATTTTTTAAAAATCCCAATACAGCTACATCACTCACTGTCCGTCCTCTTTTGACAGGCCATCGGTGCACGAAATTTGCTGAAGTCTATAGCAAAGCAAAGAGAAGCTCAGGAACAGCAACTTCAGGCTTTAATAGCTGAGAAAAAGATGCAGTTGGAAAGGTAAGTTTTCTATTAAATACTGTCAGGGCATTACATAGGCTGGAAAGTCGGCCTCGCCACCTGTGCTTGGCTGCAGGACGCTGTCTAAGCTTGTTGAAACAGTCCATCTGCAGCGACGGTGTGGCCTCCTGCACAAAGCACGCGTGGAGCAATGCAGAGCTGCAAGCCTAGAGTTAACTTAAGGCCCTGTCTGCCACTCACCAAAAGGAAGGTTCATCTCCGGTAACCCTGTGGCTAAATAAACAGAGGCAGCATGAGATCATGCAGTTGAAAAAATCAATAAAACTGTAATAGCATGCCACGTGTCTGCCTTGTAAAGGCACTTTAGAACTGCAAAGTCTAACTCATGCAGCCACTGCTTTACAGCTGACTTACTTACACATGTAGTCTAGCTTTCCTTCACCGCAGACCAGTGAGCGTTGTACTAAACCATCTAAGTAAGTCGGGCTGGATGTAGCTGGTAACCATTTGTTTTTTCTTTCAGATACCGAATAGAGTACGAGACTCTCTGTAAAATTGAAGCAGACCAGAACGAATTCATTGACCAATTCATTTTTCAGAAATAGAGGATTTTAAGATAAAAACAGACTAACTTGGAAACTTGACCATTCCAGAGTCCTGAGAATTTAAAAAATATGCAATTTTTCACTGTGTATGAATGAAGAGATGGTTTGTACAAATGGAAGTGTCTTTTAATTCAGTGTGAATTACACTAAAAGTGGCAATAAGGAGGGCCTTCTAGCAGATGTAAAGACTGTTCTGTCCTTTGATTTTATAAAAGTTTTGTACAGTCAGTAGTTCTAATTCAAATTATAGTTGAATTAATGCTACTGTTGCTATGTTATGTCTCTCACTTTTTGACTTGTACAGCTCTTTCAAAGAAATCAGGAAATAAATTATTGTTTTCAGACTTTCTGGATATACCAGAATGAGTTGCTTCTGCTATGTTATTTTTGAGCTGAAGAGTTTACAACTCCCTGGGTAGTTGTAATGGTTGTCCTATATGCAGTATTTTTCACGTCTGTAAAGACACAACACACAAGCAGCAGTAACTTTTATCTATATTGACCAGATTATTTTTTCTATAGAGAGGAAAAAAACCCCAGAAATTTATGGTTAACAGAACGGATCAATTATGGACACACAAAAAAGCAGAAAATACAGCAGAATTGAGAACTTTAAACTATGCCTGAGGTATGTCTGTGCAGGTAGTAATATTAGAGTTGAATTCTTTCATGGGTGTTATTAGTGATGGAACTGCAAACTGATGAGACAAACCATTCTAAGCCTACAGTGACACCAGGAGTATACATAAACTATAAATACAAATGTGACATCCAAGAACTGAATGCCTGTGATCTAAAATCAGGCCTTGTGTTGAAGTCCAAATAGATGCATTTTATGTCTGTCTTTAGGCAACCAAATACGGAAATGTTGGCCTTTTTTCAAAACCTGTGGAAGGTTTAAATTTATTCCGGTGAAGTTCTGAAATACCCAGGCAGTGACTGAAAAGCCTTCTCCCTGACCTGTAATCTTGCACAAGTCTCCAAGTTTGATTCTTGCAGATCAGACTGAGAACTTGAAAAAGACCAAACCAACCACCCCAGAATTTCTATCAGTAGTAGGTTTTACTTACTGTAACTTATGCATATATTTACTGTGTGAACTACCTACGATCTCATGGTCATTTTAAGTTCCTTTTAGTCATTCCCTGAAGAAGGTTAAATGCAGTTTAATGCATTTAGTTAGTTATTACCATACTAGAAGTGATTTCATGGAAGAAGTTTACAAATCCTTGTTTACAATTCCTGAAGTACTTCAAGATCCTCTAGAAGTACACCTCATCGTCAAACAAAGTTAACTTCAGGCATTCATAAATCCAGATTTCATCACGTTTATCACTGATTAGACATTTACAATTAATCAAAACTAAAGCAGAGCAAAGCAAAGTGAAATTTTCAAGGGAGGGGCGAGGAAGTTAAGAACTACTATATGATTTGAAATGCTTCAAAAGCATAGCTTTGCAAATCTGTATATAACCAGTTACAGATTTCGCAGGATATGCTCTTGGAAGACAAATTTCTTACTTAAATGGTTTTCTAACAGTCATCTTGGAAAAAGGGAACTTGAAAGAAAAGTATCAGCTGTAGTTTCCTTCCCCTGCCCCATCACACAGTTAGACATCAAATGGTGAAAAGTTCATTTTCCTATTACAGATGTACCGCACAAAACGGACAGTGGGAGAGGAGGGAGGTCCCTTCACCCGTGCGTGCCCAGAAACCACGTGGAATTGCTAGTACAGGCGTCTGCCAAAGCTATTTCTGATTGAAGGAGAGCTGTGAACTCAAACCAATTCCCATTTTTCTTGCAGGAGCCAGATGCTCTGGTAAAAACTGTTGCAGCCAACAACACAAGACAGATGTTTGTCCCAGAGGACTACGTCAGCACAGGGGCTGAATCCAAACCAGTAGGAGTGTTGTGTGTACAACTTCTAGAGTGGACTACTTCCTTTTCCTTTTCTCCACATGGTTATAATAGGGGTTGTAGAGCATGGTAAAGAGAATCAGAAGTGGTATCAGCAAGTATGGCATGTATATAGATAGTAGAATCAGGCGCTCACGTTGTGTCTGAGGTCCCAAATGCTCAGACTTTGAGAAATCGTGGAACAGGATATGCGCAAGGATAGCAAACAAAGTTGTAGCTACATGGGTGGAGTAGATAATTGCAGGAGTCCTTATCCATTTGCAGCCACCTGTGTAGAAGCAAAAAGGAAACAACATGAGTATTTTGAAACAGAATTTGGTGGCTTTTAAATTAACAGAACATTAACCACTACATCTCTGATGGGATAAGCCATAAGTCATACTAAATAGCTAGCAGAAAAATCCGTGAGTACTAGTAGCGACCCAGGAAAATTATCTACCTTTATGGAAATTTAGAATGATGGTGTGATTGTCAAAGTTCTAAAGTAACGAAAAGAGCACACAGGCTTGACCTAGAACTTTGTCTGCCTTGGCAGCATGCCAGATGTCAGACATTGATGCTGGTTACATATAAACAGCTGCAGCTGACAAGGGCCTATACTCACGGGTTTTGTTTCTGACGGGCCTTTTTCTATGCTGCTTTCTCAGACAAAACTTGCCATGAAAACAGCACAGCACTCCACACGGTACGTCCCTATAATTGCTTAAGACTGATAAATAAACTTTATCTGCTTGTACAAAAAGCAAGCATTACACAGAAATGCTGCACAGGACATACTTTTACACTTGTTTTATACCAACCTTTTAAGAAGGCGTATACTGCAATGGGGAAGAAAGGCATTTGTAAGAAGGCTTCGCAATATATAAACGCCTTAAACCACTCTGGGGGCTGGAGCATCATGGGGTCTCTAAAGGTGGCTGCATACCACTGCAACAACTCTGTCAGCTTAAAAAAAAAGAACAAAACAACAGATTAATACACGGAATGTCAACCGCAACAGGGCAAAAATTGTGACCCTCATCTGCTGGTCAGATGAAGCCATCACTGCAGTGGGAAAATGAGGAATCTCATCTTGGTACACAAGGCTTCATGCTGCAATTTAGTTTTAACAGGGACTATGTTCCTGAAGTCTTTAAAGTGATGAACCCTTTCCATTAAGTATGTGTTACATTTGCACTACAGGCAATTTTAGGATTACAGCAGCATTAAGTACAGTTGCTTTCCAAAAACTACTCCTGAAACGTCATTTCCTACTAGAAGGAAAAACCGCAAAAAATCTGCACCTTGACATTGGCAGATGTTATTTTCCTCTTTCTGACCCTCCTATTGCCAGCTGAGGTGGACTCAATGTTGCAAGTACTCGCAGGTCCTTCCCCTGTCTAAGCAGGAGGTGCGACCCCAGCCCGGTCTGGCCAAGCTAAGAGGAGTCTGGGACCTCCTTCGGTCAGGGAGCGCGCCGCTGCATCACATCGCTGCACTGCAGGGTTGGTGGCTGGCCACCGCTGCTTGAGCGGCCTGATGTAAGAATTTGGGCTTAGCAAGTTACAATTAGTTTCCATAACAGAAATGTAAATTCCAGCGCGGCTTTCGGTTGGACTTTGGACAGAGAGATATGTTCGGAGATTTGCTAGTTAACTATTAATTAAAAATGGTTTCTATGATGGAGTAATTCTACCGGCAGTTCTAATGGCAAAAATCAAATTCACCAATTGCAAAGTTTGTATAGGAAGTTATGCCTGATCTCACCCTGATGACAAGAGTTAATTGTTTATCTTCTATCCAACTGTTATTTGAATTGGCTTTATGACATTTATTGTCTTCTATAATTTTAGTCAAAACCCAGCGAACCAGAGATTTTTACTAATAAATTTGGTTGCTAGCGCGCCCGCTTCTACAGCGGTAACGATTCCCTTTTACATTTTTGGCAGGAGTATGAGCAAAGACGGGGATCGCAGCGCGACCCGGGCGGCGACTCCAGCCCCATCCCGGGGGGCACGCGGTGGCTCGCGCAGCGCTGCCAGCATCTCCAGGGCGCTAAGGCGGGGCGCGGCGGGCGGCACGGTGGGAACGAACGCTCCTACGGGAACGACAGCTTCTACCCGCCAGCCTGCAAAATACACAACGTACCACGCCGGGAAAACCATCATCCGTGCCAGCAGTTGATCAGGGACTTCTCTTGCGTGGCCCTGCGACTGCGGGCGTTGAAACTGAAAGGAGTGGCCCGCGTACATCTGAGATGTGAATTTTTTTTTAAATATCAGTCCCAGCTGATAAATGATCGTCCTGTTTGTTCTCCTTCCCGACGGAATGGCTCGACTAGAAACGGAAGTCGTCGTGCAGGTAGCAAGTATTGAATTATTCTTAAGGGCTGTTTCATTTTAGTTAATTTTCTGTGTTTTCCTCCCCCGCCCCCGTCCCCGTCCCTACGTGCTGGATTTTGTTAAAAAACCGCCACCGGACCCGTTCAATCGCGCTTCTCCTCGCAAGCCTTGCGCGGGGCGAGACCCCCCGGTCCCGTCCCCGGTCCCGTCCCCGTCCCCTACTCACGGCCCGCGGGTGGA